GAGAACGCCCCCACCCCGCCCACCCTCGATCCTCCGCTCTCCGGAGGAGGGAAACTGAGGCAGGGAGGTGGGATCGGCCCCGGCTGCCCCACTGACCCTCCCCTAAAACAGCTCGGGACCTCTCGGTGGCCCCGGCCCCGCGTGGTCACCCGAGCCACGCCCTGTCCCCACGGCATGCCACCCTCGACCCCGAGCACTCCGAGCGTCCCCGTGGAGCAGGGGACACTCCTGGATCCCGTCACCTGTGTCCCCACAGAAGAACACCCACGGGGGATGGTGCCCAGGGCCGCCCCTTCTCTCTACCTCAATTTCCCCTTCCACGAGGGACCACACTTCGGGACAGCCCAGGTGACACCCACGTGGCCAAGCATCCATGGCGGTCAGCCGTGGGTCTGTGGGACGGGATGTCACCGCCGGTGGCAAAGGGCGCGGTGACAATGGGGCACCCGCGGGTGCCACCGCGGGCATGGCCGGGCCACGCAAGAGAGCCGTCCCCGGGGGCCGAGCACCGGCGGGCTCATGACACGGGGACACGCGGCTGCGCCCGCTCCGTCGCCTGCCATCTCCATCAGCCTCGGCGGGGACAGCAGGACGCGATGGCAAGTGACAGGCGCCGCCAGCGCCGGGGGTGAGCGAAGGACGCGGGGACGGGGGAGGGGGACACGGCCACAGAAGCGTAGAGCAGCCCGGGGCCGCTCCCAGTGCCGCCCGCCACGGCGCTTCGGTGGCCCGGGGTGACAACACCGAGGGAGCATCAACGTTGGTGTTGAAGTCCATGGGATCATCATTCCCCCCTGCCCCAAAAAAACACCCTGGGGGTGCATCCCCTCATCACCTTCATGCCTGTGCAATGGCCCCAAGAGCAGGGGACACACGGGGGACAAGCCCCACCCCCGCCCCAAAAGAGGGGACGCTTGACAGCCATCGATCGCCCCCGCATGTCCCCCGGCTCCTGCAGAGGCTTTAATCAACGAGCAGAAATCAATTAGCTGCCTTTAAGGAGGCAATTATTCCTGGGGGCTTAACAAGGCTGGGGAGGGGGAGAGTATTTTGGGGTGGGGGTGTTGGCAGAACAGTGTCCCCCCCTTCAAAGTTGTCACCATTATGTCACCAGCTGCTTCCCTGGTTCTTTACTCAATCATTTTTGTGCCCCCCCGCCTCATTCCTCGTTATCTTTCTGTTTTAACAAGTGCCTAAAAATACGCCTTGCGAGGTCACGGGCTGYGTGAGTCACCACCAGCACGGGGACGGGGTGGCCCGGGTGGGCAGGGGGCTCTGCGTGGGGACGGGGTGACCGTGGTGGGGACACCCTGTCCCCGTGCTGGTGGTGACTCACGCAGCCCGTGACMRTGGTGGGACAGGCCCATCCCGTTTGCATCCGGGCACTCTTCTCGCCTGGAGGGTCAGGGGACATCCCTGGTCCTGGCTACCATCCCTCATGGTGGGGACACAGTCCTGGGTCACCTTGTTGCCACAGGACATTGTGTCCCCATGGCACAGCCACCACCCTCRGCCACCATGTCCCCATGCCATGGCCCTACCKCCTRGCTGCAGAGCCAGGACAGCTTTAAYACTGCCCTGGGACAGCAGCACTGTGTGGGGAGCTTATGACACCCCAGGTGACACTGGCTGRAGCCTCTGAGGTGCTCCCTGTCCCTGTCCCCAAACCCTGCATGGAGARGAGGTGCAGCAGGGATGCCCCTCCATCCACCTGGGCACAGAGGGCAAAGCTCCAAGGGGCCACACGTTTGGGAGTGCAGGAGCTGGGAAAGGGACAAAGCTGGGAGGTGGCAGGAGTGGTGGCAGCAGTGGCTGCAGTTGTTGTGGTGACTGTGGTAGCAGTGGTGGCAGCAGTGATTCCAGTGACAGCGGTGACTCCAGTGGTTGCAGTGGTGGTCACAGTGGCTGTGGTGATGGCTGCAGTAGGGGCTGCAGTGGTGACAACAGTGGCTGTCATGGCTGCAGTGGTTGGGGCAGTGGCTGCAGTGGTTGTGGTGACAGCGGTGGCTGCAGCTGTTGTGGTGGTGGCTCCCGAGGTTGCGAGGCAGTGGTGACTGCAGCTGCTGTGGCAATGGCTGCAGTGGTTGCAGTGGCAGCGGTGGCAGCAGCAGTGGTGGTGACAGCAGTGGCAGCGGTGGCTGCAGCAGTGGCTGTGGTGACAGCAGTGGCTGTGGTGACAGCAGTGGCAGCGGTGGCTGCAGCAGTGGCTGTGGTGACAGCAGTGGCTGTGGTGACAGCAGTGGCRGCGGTGGGTGCAGCAGTGGCTGTGGTGACAGCAGTGGCTGTGGTGACAGCAGTGGCAGCGGTGGCTGCAGCAGTGGCTGTGGTGACAGCAGTGGCTGTGGTGACAGCAGTGGTGGCGGTGGGTGCAGCAGTGGCTGTGGTGACAGCAGTGGCTGTGGTGACAGCAGTGGCGGCGGTGGCTGCGGCGGTGGCGGTGGCTGCGGCTCCGCTCGACGCCCGCCGCTCCTCTGCAAAGGTTAAGCAAACAGCAGCTCCCGCAGAATCGATGGCAGCCGAGCCCTCGGCTGTTTGCTTTGGCAGCGCGGCGCGGGGGCGGCTGGGCCATGCTGGGGACGCTGCCGGTGGGGAGGGGGACAATCAACGCTCCAGGGGCGCAGGTTTGGCCGGGGGTGGCTGTGCCCCCCACCTYCTGCTCACTGAGGAACTCACGGAGGATTTGGGGAAGGGTGAGGGTGGTTGGGCCAGGGCAGGGGGCTCGTGGGGCAGCCATGCCGTGCCTCAGTTTCCCTTCCCGGCGTTGTGGCAGACGCTGCCCACAGGACCACGCTTGTCCAAGGGGACAGGGACATTGTGTCCCCAAACCTGCCACCTGGTCCCACAGCTGTGGCTCAGCCCGGGTGGGCTCAGCTGGAATTAGGACACAGAGCTGGACACAACCAAGGAGCCCAATGTCGGTTCATGATGATGAGCCTGGGGAGGGAGCGGCCGTTTGCAGGCTGCCCCTGATGTGTTTGGATGCTGTCCCTAAAGTCCCACTGTGTCCCCAGGATGGGCTCCGGAAGGGGCCATGAAGGGGACACTCAGCTGTGGGCAGGCAGGGCAGGTGTAGCTCCAGCATGGATCAAAGTGGGAGTGAGAGAAGGCCCCAGGGTACCAACCCGAGGTGATGGCCCTGGAGCTGGCCAGGTGGCTGCTGGACTAGCCACAGGACTGACTAGTGGCTTGGCCAACTGTCTGGTGGCCTTGAAGGACAACTGGATGGCTGGTTGGCAAGCTGAGTGGTTGGTGGCCAACTGGCTCGCTGGCTGGTTGGGCACCTAGCTGGATGTTTGAGGAGTGGGCTGGCTGGCTGGTCGGTTGCTTGGCTAGGTGGCCAGCTGGCTGACTGATTGCCTGGTTGGCTCATGGATTGGCTGGCTGGCCAGTAGAGCACCAGACTGGTTGCCCTCCCAGCTGTCTGTCTGCCTGTCCAGCCAGTTGGCCGGTGGCCGGCCAGCTGATCCAGGGGCTGGCGAGCTGGCCAGAGAGCTGGGTCAGCGCTGGCCCCGGGGACAGCGACATCCCAGCGTGTCCCAGGCCAGCGGCAGGCGCTGTCCCTTGCCCGGCGCGGGGGGAGCCCGGCCGCGGGCTGCAGGCGRGCAAGGTGTGGGTGGCACATTCCCCGTCCCTGTCCCCGTCACTGCCTCTCATTACGGACACGGCGGGGCCCGTCACMCTCCCACCGCGCGGCAATTAAGGGCTGCCAACACCGGCAGTTAATTAGCGCCAGCGGTGAGTGCTGGAGGTGACGGCCGCATYGCTGCCGGCGGGGACGGGCTCGGGGACATGTCCCCTCCGCCAGGGGGACATGGGTGGGAGTAGCGGGGACTTGGGCTGTTGGGACCAGACGTGTTGTCCCAAGGGTGCCCACGGCCGGTGGGGACAGGGTGTGACACGGGGGGGGTGCGCAGTGACAGTGGGTGCCAGCGATGGGGGTGCAGGAGGTGGCACCGGGGYGTATCCTGCACGGTGACGGTGTGTGGCACCCCAGGCTGTGCAGTGACGGTGACARTGGGTGACACCCAGTGGGCCATGCAGTGACAGTGACACTGGGCGATACACTGCGGGCCGGCAGTGACGGTGACAATGGGTGACACGCCGTGGGCCACGCGGTGACATAGCACTGTGTGACAGCCCCAGCACCAGGCACTGACGGTGACTCTGTGTGACAATCCACGGGAGCTGCAGTGACACTGCGTGGCACCCGGCGGTCCCATAGTGACAGTGACACCCTGTGCACAGCGCGGTGACAGTGACACCATGTGACACCCCAGGGAGCAACAGTGAGGCTGTGCAACACCGCAGGGCTGCGCGACAGCTCTGTTGTGACACGAGTGGGGCTGTGCAGCCGCGGTGACACTGTGTGACACCCCAGGGAGGTGTGCAGTGACACTGACACTGTGCCACACCCCGGGGACCGTGCAGCGACAACAAATGCCATGCCGTGACACCAGTGCCATGTAGTGACACTACACTGGGGTCCCCCGGCTTGTCCCCCCTTGTGTGTATTGAGGCGCCCACCCAGCTCACACCTGGGGACATTCCCCACTGGGGGACATCACCCTGACCTGCAGCCTCGTGGGGTGACATCTGTCCCCACCCTCCACCTGCCCCAGCGGGTGTCCCATGGTGGATGCTCCAAGGAAGAGGGGGCTCCAGGAATGACGTACACCAGGGAAGGGGGTGCTCTGAAGAAGGGGCAGGGAGGGGTGCACGGAGGGAGGGGTTCACTATGGAGGGGGTACTCCAAGGATGA